CGGCCCTCTCTTATTTATTATGTACATAAATGATTTGCCAAGCTGCCTAGAACGCACAACTCCAAGAATGTTTGCTGATGATACTAACTTAACGGCAGTAGGCAGAACAATTAGTGAGGCGGAAGAGAGGGCGAGCGTAGACATGAGGAATGTTCAGAAATGGCTTTGTGCAAATAAACTAAGTCTAAATATAGTGAAAACCGAGTATGTTTTAATTGGAACACGACATAAAATAAGTAATATTGATACCCATCAAGGAGTTAAAATAAATAATCAATTGATTAAAAAAGTTAAAAATACCAAAGCTCTTGGAGTTGAATTAGACGAAAACTTGAGTTGGGAAAAACACATTAACCATATTAGCAGTAAAATATCATCAGGTATTGGGGCTATTAGAAAAATGAGGGAGTATGTCGAACAAGACATTTTGATAAAAGTTTATAATGCCTTAATCCAACCTTATTTTGATTATTGCCGTGAAGTATGGGATACACTTAATAAAGGCCTAAGCGAACGTCTACAGAAATTCCAAAACAGAGCGGCTAGGTTGATCATGAACTTAAAAAATGAACATGGTCAGTCTATTTTGGCACGAAAATCTCTAGGCTGGGTAACACTTGAAGAGCGTAGGGCACAAATGAAAGCCAGGCTCATGTACAAGACAGTTAATGGTTTAGCCCCCCAACGACTATGCGAAGCTTTCCAAAATCTGAATACCATTCATGACCATAATTTGAGAGGTTCTTCAACAAGGTTTTATATTCCAAGACCAAAAACGGAATCCTTAAAAAAAAGCTTCCAATATAGTGGGGCTAAACTATGGAATCAGATACCTGAAGAGATACGCAATTCGATATCGTATAATTCGTTCTGTAAAAAGCTATCTTCCTCGACCTTAATCTCGACTTAAAGTAGTAGTTAATTTTTTGTCTAAATAGGTATATAATTGTATTTGTTATGTATGTAATATTAGAGCTAGTTTATAAATAATAATTTGTAAGTACACATCCCTTTTGGAAATCAGCTTTTGCTGAAAAGGCCAATGTGTTTAAATAAAGTTGATCTATCTATCTATCTATATCTATCTCATTTATACCACAGTTTATAAAAGTTTAGACGTATTCGGTATTCCAAATCCCAATCTAGCTGACCGTATTTTAATTGCTTCAAATATTCAGAACATTATTCTTTAAGTCACACATAGTACAAGTACTATTTACATTCATGCCAATGGTAGTATTTTATTTGGCTGCCTTTATATTTGGATGTGTATTGATTATTAACTTTTAATCTATTATCTGGAGAATTCCATATTTTTTCCGAGTAATATTATACAATTACTTTATGGTTTCCGTGTTTGGATGGCCTGATCCAAACACGCGGGAATGTTGCGAGAGTTAATCGAGCAACATTCCCAAGTGTTTGGATCAGGCCATCCAAACACGGAAACCATAAAGTGATTGTTTTATAAAATAACAACAACACGATAGCACAGAATAAAGATCGGTACCAGAAGGGCCACTCAGCGGTGCAACGTGTCGCCATTTTTCTATGCAAAAATATGCAGTTGACTGGCCAGAAGGCGGGGCCTTCAGCCAATACAGCGAGTTTATTGGCCAGAAAATGCAATCGACTGGCTAGGAAGATGGCGGCCAGGGTGACAAAAACTTCAAAGCTTCCGACGTAAGTGGCCCTTCTGTGTGCCTTATTCTGTGACGATAGTCTTCCGTGTTTGGATGGCCTGATCCAAACACGGGTTTCGACCTATCAGAACACGCGTTATATACATGTTATTTTATAAATGCTAATGCTTCGTATTATTGTTTATATATAGATTATTACATTTCTTCGTTGTACAATGTACACGCCTTGCATCAATTTGACAGTTGACAGTTTATTTATCGCAGTCGGCGCTGATTGGTTCGCGTTTAGAAGATGCGAAAAGGGGATGATTGGATATAACGCATGGTTCCGTGCAGGCTCACCTTTCTCCCAGTGAGCCTGTTCGCAGGCTATTCCAAAACTTTTTTTTACGCTGAAGTCCAGGTATTTTTGCTGATTTTTAGCTTTTAGTACTTTCTTTAAGTACTCTAAAACTAGAAAAAAATGGAAGATTTTAAAGTTGTATTATTTTCATTGCTGTGCCTGTGCCAAAATTGTTACAGTCCACTTTGCATCTGGGAACGAAACTTCACATATATAGAGAACGAGATTTAGCCAATCAGATAGGGCAATTTGCCCCATTAAGAAACTTCAATTTTTCCTCAATTTTTCCCACGATCGCCACTCCATTCTTCGATAATCTCTATGCATAGGAGGAATTGGGCATCCTATTTGGAATACATTATTTGACAGAGGCGTAATTTTCTCTATTTTTCTATTTTTCCCTTGTTCCCCCAGGGCTTTCATCAATTGGCCTACATGTTTTCAGGTATACAGCTGTGTTTAGAAGTAAAATACTAAATGCCTCTCCCCAGTGACGTAACCAGAACGATAATTGGGGGGGGGCGGCATATTCATATATTCGTGTTCTGCTTTATTAATTTCTTTTGAAATCAATTGTTTTTATGGTATGTGAACACGAATATATGAATATGCCCCCCCCCCAATTATCGTTCTGGCTACGCCACTGCCTCTCCCGAGGAGATAAAACCAATCCCAATTGTTTGTCATGCGTAATTAGGCGAATCCGGAGGACTGGCACACCTTCTCACCCCCTTTAGTGGTCCTAAATTTCGTGCACTTTTGAATGACGTTCCTAGTTTGACAGAACAACAAAATCATTGTCTATTTTAGTTTTATTTAAGATTTACTCCCCTTCCCTCCCAATGGCACAAAAGTAAATACAGTGCTAAAAGTTTACATTGAAGCCTTGTAATATAGTTTTGAAACAGTACGGTATCCATACAAAGGTGTTTCATGCAGGGTAGAAGTTAAGCATCAAGCAAGTTGGCTAATAATCGTACACATGATGTCTAGGGACATCAGAGATGAGTGATAAACATCACAGTAGCAAAATCAAGGATAAAAGTGATGTGACTTAGAGAAGGAGTGCTAACTATCAACACTGTCCTTCAGATTAATCGATGATGTTATTTGTTGCAGTAATAGACGTTTTATCATATTAAGACAAGCCAATTCTCTTCAGGGTTCATTAGTCCGAATATTATCTTGAATATAAGAAAACGAGAATTACTGGTGTTGTCTCAAAAATTGAATAAAAGTAAATTAAAATAAATGTGGTTTAATTGTACAACAATGCCATATCTTATTAAAATAGAAAAAACTGTGTTTTATTGCCAAATACAATTGGGGGTGTTATACCCCTATTCCCCGATCGCTACGGCCCCTCTAAAAATATTTCTTCAACATCCTTCATGTTCAGAGTAAAACGTACAATGAAAACGCTTTGTGGCTTTATGTTTGATTTCCAATGTAAAATCTTAAAAATATGTCCATATTTCCAATGCCCACTGTTTTGTAAGTAATCCGCCACCTTGAAATAATGAAATGATTACTTCAGTTTTACATAAAATCGGACTGTTTCCCAGGCTCCATCGCTCTACTAGACAGAGCGGAAGCGAAAGCTTGGACATGAACCATGAAAGGTGTCCCAATTTTAACCTTGTACCCTGAAGTTGTTTCATGGTGGTAGATCATGAATTCTTGTGTTGCTAGCCTTCAGTGCAATGGTTTTGATTTAACAAACATAAAACATTTTCCGTGTTGATATACAGTTTTATCAACACGAGTGAAAATTGGGAAAACGAGAAATTGTGTGGAAACACAATGCCCGAAGGGCGGGGTGTTTTCACACAATTTCGAGTTTTCCCAATTTCCACGAGTGTTGATATAACTCTATATCAATACGGAAAAAATGTTTTATATTGGTCTTATAATATAGCACAAATTAGAAACATAAAAAATTTTCCGACGTTTCCGTCTTGACATTGAGTTATATCAACACGGCTCTTAACCAATCAGCGTTGAGAATTTACAAATGCTATATTATAAATAATAAATATTACTACATGCAAGCAAACTGCTAAATTTAGTATAGTTTTATAAAGACCTTATATGGAAATGCTGCACTGCCATTCTGCAGTTTTTTATTGGCATAATAATATCAGAATAGTTTATTGATTTCACATGAGAAGCAACGGAAAGTTTATTAAAGTTAACACACTGTGTGTTTTATCGATATATTTTTGAAGTCATAAAACACAAAAAGAAATATTATATGATAGTATTAAATTATCACTAAATAGACTGACACTCACAATTTGAATAATAATTAGCATGGAATTAGTGTAAAAGATGGAATGAATAATTATAACAAACAATCAATCAGAGACCAATTTTCGCGCTTCTTCCCCAGAACCTCACTAGCTTCCACAGAAAATGGCAGGCTCGGGGAAAGAGTTTGTCCCAATTTCAGACACTTCGAGGTGGCGGTGAGCCACGTTAATGACTTTAATTATCGGGACGATAACATTAAAAGACGCAATAAGAATAAAAATACCACCGTTCGATTCAGCGTAGGAAATTGTAATTACGGATGTCAAATGTATTACTAAACGACATTATTCTAGCGATTTATGGCCTTTGTCTTTGAAAGCAAACCGAAATGTATTCAACCCCCCCCCGTTGCCCTTTACCAGGAAGAGCAAGGGGGGCAAAGGTGCCCTTTCAATTTAAAGGATTGCCTTGGCGAAATAGCGAATTGTCAGAAATGCTAGTGCAATTCTTTTACGAATTTGCTTCAGGAAACGCAAGAAATGCAGTCATTGAGCTTCAAGAATAGCACAATCGCCTGGCGGAGAACACCCTCACACCCCTATCATCCAATAAATAGAAAACATGATTAGGCGAAGTTCAACTCCCGATGTTTTGCAAACATCTCTTAGTATATATCAATTCAAAAGTACCCTTTCACGAAAATCTGCCCTCCTTGCCTTCACATCGTCCCGGCGTCCCTGAATGTATTATTATTATTATTATTATTATTTAAGCTTATTTATTCACGGTAGCCTTTCAGAAGCCTGTTTTTCAAAGGGCCGTGCACACTTACTATAAAATATTATAAGAATATTAAAATTATTAACTAAAAAAAAAAAAAAAAATAAACAATCATGCATAATATACTCTATTTACATCGGCAAGGCATAATGCTTTGATATGGTTTGGCAGGATGACCTCCCAATTCAAAAACACAAGCCATCTATTAATCTTTTAAAAGAACAGATGGAAGTTTCAGGTATTTCCATAATTGGAAGTTTTCCATTAAAATTTGGTTCCATGAAACTGCTCCTCTATAGGAGAAGCTTCGTTTTAAAAAATTCGTCTTAGGTTTTGGTAGGTAAAGCTTTTGATGATTATTTCGTAGATGGTAGGTTT